AACCTTGGCAACAGTTGTGCATCACATCAAGAAAATCTTCACCAGATATGGCATTCCAAAACTGGTATTCTCAGACAATAGTTTCAAATTTACATCTATAGAATTCAAGAGGTTTTCTGCAAAGTGAAACTTTAAATATAAAACCAGTAGCCCAGAATATGCTCAATCTGGAAGAGAGAGCAATTCAAACAATAAAGAAGACCCTACTCAAATACTCAAAAAACAGTGAAGACAAATATCTTGCACTACTTAATCTATGCATTACATCTTAGAAAATACAGCTTCACCTGCAACCAAACTCCTGAAACAGGTACTGGAACACTGCTCCCAGTGATAGCCTAACACAAGTACGAAACTAGTGCTGGAAAGCAGCCCAACAAAAATCATTACCAACTGCATCATTTGAATTTGGGGGATCATGTACACATCCAAGATGGCAAAACATGGTCCAGAAAGGGGAAAATAATAGAATGCTTCAGGCAACTCCAATCCTGTCTGGTTTGAATGGAAAATGGTAGGAAACTCCAACAAAATCTCTGACATCTACTGGCAATTTCAAAGTCCATAAAAAAGCAAACACATCCCTACCCAATGACATCAAACTGACCAACTCCAGAAACTGCAGAACCCCATCATTCTCACGGAATTCATTTTAAATATGGCCCATAGAAAGAGTAATCAAAACAATAGTCGCTGATCGTCTATCACACCAGACACCTGCTGTATAAGTAGATGTTTACGATTTACCAGCACTTGTTGAGGCACAAGTATCTGACTCTGAAATCTGATCTTTCCTGGATTTAAGGAAATTCAGCCTACCTGAAAATAACCAATTTGTGTTGTGTAACGCATCAACATCATACCCAAGACCTTTTGGGCTATGTAAGTTGTGTGGATCTGTGTTTGACAGTATACATTCAATATTACACTTTGGAATTAAATCATCCATTAAGATGAAGGCTAGATTTTACTGACCAAATATGGATAAAAGCATCAAAGAACTTTGTGCAGCATGTACATCCCGTCAACAAGTACACCAAGTCACCAGTCATGTCAAATCATCCAGGGCATGTCACACTTACCTCTTCAATTTTTCTGAAATTTTGTCCATGTGTTGACTATGTTTAAGTAAAACAATCCCCAAAATTTGAGCATCTAATTCCAAAAATTGTTCAATTTACATCAGTTTTTAGTTTTCCCTCAGTTTTGGGATTGCGTAAACAAAAGTGGCCTTTTGTAATCTATTTTTGTCTGTAAAATTAGTTCTAGAGCTTTCCTAATCCTAAAAATTGGCTCAGAAAAGCTTTTCGGCCTGGAGAATCCAAAAATGTTATAAAAAAAGACTCAAAATTAATCAGTTTTAAGTTATTAATGATTTCTGATTTTTCATTGCACGATAAATAGGGGAGAGAATCCCTGTGTGGCAGCGCATCCATGATAAATTTTTTTTATTATTATTATATTACATATATTGAACATTATTTGTACTAAAAAGATAGTGTGATTATTTCTTACTTTGCTCAGAATAGAAGCCACAGCATTAGTTAAAATTTTGCACTTTTACATTTTAAGTGTTTCTATTCAGCCAGTGAATAAGGTCTACATGGAGCAAAATAACTCAGAGTTGAATAGAAATAATTTGATGCTTCAACTCAGTGTTACCCAAAGTGGACGGTACTGCCCCACTGGGGGGTGGTGCTTGGATATCAGGTGATACAAAATGAGGTAGTTGGGGGTGACAGTGTCATATTAAGAGTATATAAACAATAAATATATTGTTTTTTTCTTTTTTTACAAGATCTGAAAGACAAAATATATATCAGATTCAGTTACTAAGGTAGAAGAACTTGTATGAAATTTATAGATAAAAAAAGTGACATTAGAATTAAAAACAAATACATAGCACTGTTAGATAGTCAAGTCTGAATCAAAAGTATGAATGTTTGCTTGACACCAATACACAACACGTATAGTAGACTCATAGAAGGAACCTGCATTTACCACATGTAGCTGCTACCTTGGCACCTAGCCAGATCAGTCTCAGAGTCAATAAACAACTAGGCTACATGGTCCAAGGCTTGCCTCAGGTTTGTAAACACTGCACTTTAATTTCAATCTTACAATGTTCAGAATTTTTAAATATATTAAAAGATGTGTCCTCTCACAGTAAATGTTGAAAGTTTATCACACCAACCAATTGTTTTATTTTGCAATTGTCAGAGCATGATATTAGGGGTTAGTGATCAGTTAAGGTTAGGTTAGATTAGTTTAGATTGCCAGTCAAGTTATGTTTAGCTTTTGTTTGGTTTTGTTGATACAAGCAATCATCGAGACGAGGCAGTGTGGGGTGGCACACCAGTATATTTTGGTGTTTTTTACTTATCTGTTTGTTTTCTTGGAAAACATTATTTTTCTTACTGTAGAGGGGAGGGTCATAAAACAAAAATAAATAAATTCCAAGAAAAACAAACATCAAATTCATTCAAAACAAATCAAAATCTATCAGAAAAAAGTGGTTTTGTTCAAAAATAGAGTCCGTGCATAAAACAAATCTTTACTTGGGAGTGTATTAATGTAAGAACACCTAAAGTATTTCTGACTTTTAGTACATACCTTACTCTGCTAAGGCCATATTTTGAAACTTCAATCTTGCTGCCATAAGGACGTGATGTAGTATATATGAAGTGATCATAATTTCTTATTTCTGTATCCCAGACTTTTCTACAGGAAACTAGAATGAAAAACACTAGACATGATATGGAACGTTCCCTTTTTTACTCCTTTTTAACACTGGCTTCCCACACACAATCCTCCGAGAAAAGTTTCTGAAGCGAAAAACTATTGGAACATTTTGTAAGATACTTGAAGAATGATCCCTTGATACAAGAAATTGAACTATTAGATATAAATCCGACCTATGCACACATCGGATAGAGTGATAGCCATGAAACATATGTATCACTACATGACCTAGCTCCCTGCCCAAAACAGACACTTGTAAGCAAGAACAGTGGGCGCCAGAGACTACAGCAGAATATTTCCCCCTGAGGGAGAGATAACTATTCCAGTAATTGAAAACAATCCTACTGGGGAGGAGGGGAGTGCTAAACAATATTGATATTCTGCACACTTTTTGTGAAACTTTAATGCACCAACTTTGGAAGGTCAACACTTTGTCGGTCCCAAATAATAAACCATACACTGCAACAATATGGGTGATGAATTTATTTGGCTGGAGTGAATGTTATGATAAAAACATCCCGGATTATCCTCCTTTAATAGAACTCTTACAACTCAAAGTTGACTGCCTGCTATGCTATAGCAGTATATTGGCGTACCTCCTCCTTCCGTCAACGGTTGCCTTGAACCTTTTCTCTTTCTTTCATTGTCGTTGCTACTCTTTGAGCAATGACCCAACACTTTCAACATTAAGGTACATGACCGTTTTAGAATGAACAACTGGTTTGATGGTTGCCATTTGCCGCCAGTCAAAGTTCACATGACTTATTGGATCCCCACCAAAAAGTATCCATGTGCAGGAGACGACCTGCAGCCATTAAGCCAAGAAGACGCATTTTCCGTCTTTCCCTCTTCACCATACGCTTCAAACACTAAAACTTCAGTAACAGACTTTCATAGTCAATTTCTTTGCCTGAAGCTACCTTTCATCGTCCTTGACTCAATCTTAGCCCAACTTTCCAACCTTACCTCCTGTTCAAAACAACAAGCATTCATCACTAACCCACAGTATCAAACGGACCTTACCTCCTGTCCAAACAACAAGTCAGGAACCCACTAGTCTTCACACATGGTATTTGTATCTTCTGGATTTTTCCCTTTGGTCTATACTTCATTCTATGTGATGAACATTTTTTTACAATTTATAAATTCGGTGATTCTATCTTGGTCGAACTCGTGTCGGAGTCTCATACCGACCGGGAATTCTGATTCTAAGACTCCTTTGATTCTTCTTCCTTTACCAAAAGGAAACATTCATAGACAAAGTTGCCTCCCTTGTAATGTTTATTCAAAAAAAAAAGGAGATTCTTACAATTAATCTTTTTCACGTTTTTGGCTACTTCCTCTTCAAGAACATTTGGCACCAACCATTACTATTTTTGGCACGCAACAACGTTCAACTGTCAACATCAACCTCATGTTGTACAGATTTGTTGGACCACTATCCAGAAACCAGGAATTTGACACTCCAATCTTTCCTTTCTTCATCCTGTCAATTTTTTGTTAAAATAAACTCATATTTTGTTATGCCTCTCATACCTCATTTGTGTTAGTCCATTCTCTACAGTTACTAACCTTGCCGTGAACGATTGATATTCTAAAGGAATATCAAATACGCTTATATATGGGAGTCTGGTGGTCTGACACAAGACCATACATAAGAAACCTCACTCTGCGACCAGGCTTCCCCTATAAGTAATAAGAGTACCAGTGTAATGTTTAATAAAGCCACAATTCTGTGGTAATTTGTGTTGTTGTTAATTCATCTTGATATTTATATACAAACTTTGTTATACAGAGGAAACAATAGAATGTTCAGCTACAGAAGTTTGTTTTTTTAATTCATCTGTTAAAAACAAAATATCTTGTTAATGAGATGATAGTAAAGGCTTATTCTTTTTAATATTCATTTTGTTTGCCAATTTATAAATGTTCTGAATATTTAGAACATGAAGGTGAATGTAAAACAACATACTAAATTTAAAATACATAATAAATATGACAAATATCAAATATAAATGTTATTTTGTCTGTGAATCAACCCAATCCATTTTACAGGCAATTCCAAAGAAGCTCAAGATCTTTAAGTTTGACTGAAATAAGCAAATACAGTAGAAAAGAAGAGAAAAACTGAAAGATGAAATTTACAAAATGAGGAAGGCAGAACAAGATTAAAAAGAAAAATTATACATCTTACTGTTATTAAATAATAAAGATTTACAAATAAACACGAAAAGAAAAGTGAAAAGCAGAAAAAGTGGCTATCTGAGACCTGTTTCAAGGACAAGTGCCTCTAATAAAGTCTGACATTCTCCATTTATATATGGTTCATATGTCCATGCTGAGGTACAAAACATCATCAAGTGGCGATCCATAACATGTGCAATATTGCGTGCCAAATTCTCCTTCAAAATATATTCCATCTGGTAAGCTTCATGAATCTTCTGTGAAGTAGCTTCTGCCAAATATTTAGAGAAAAATGTCTGTAAAACATTATATGCATTTACTAAATAAGTGACTATAATTCATATAATACATATGACAAAATTTGAATGCAATGATGTTTTTTTAAATTTCTGCTGATAAAGAAATATGCAAACACTATCATAAATCAAAATAAAAGGATAGGAAATATCTATAGCAGATATGTCTAACCTTTGATATTTGTACCAAATGTGGGGCATTACATGCCAATGATTTTTGCCAGTCATTTTACAATTGGCACCTTTATTATATAGAGTTACATTTATTTGTGAATATTTTCAGTATTATGCCTTTTTGAAAATTTAGTATTTTTTAAAATTGTTTTCCATCAAAATACAAACAATAAGTAAGAGATAATCAAAAAATGATAGTAAACACAAATTCAACAAAAAATGGGAAAATGAGAAAAGAAGCCATTTTTATTGAGTGAACAAAACAAAGATGCTGAGTGACATACAGACTAAACTCATTCACTTAAAAGAAAATTCATATTTGAAAAAAAAACTTGATGAAATTCCCTGTTCCAAAATCCTTAATTTCTGATTATTATAATGTGAATGATTTCCAGAACTAAGTAAATTTTCTCAGAATCATATCTGTTGTTTTGAAATAACATTCAGATGTAAACATTTTCATGTATGTAACTGATTAAAAACAAGATCACAATTGACTAATCAAAATTTTTTAAATTTCTGCTCCTCTCAGTAATTTATATCCAAACATTAAAAATTTGACAAAATTGAAACAGACTCAAAAGTTTCATTAAGCTATGTAATGCTCATCATTTTTTTTTATATTAAATCGATAAATTATATAAAAATAATAAATTTATATAAACATTTCTATAAAAATTAATAGAAGTAAAAGATTTGTATGACACCTCTGAATTGTGGGTAGGAAAATGGCTGCATGGCATGTGAAAGTTTGGTCACTGTCGATCTAAAGACTCAAGTAAATTGTTATTGATTGTAACAAAATAACAAAGCAAATGATTCACACAATATAATGGCTACTGAATGAAACTGTTAGAATTTTTCAATCTATGAGAGGAATATATTTTTTATATAAAAAAAAGAAAGCTTACCATATTCTTTGTAAGTCCAAGATTGGAAAGGAATCACTGAATGAACATTTTCTTTCAAGTAATGTTCTTCAAGTTTTAAAAGGTTTTGAAATTTTGTATTCAGTGAATTCAGTTTATCAACAATTTGTTTCTGTAAACAAGATAAAAGCCATGATTAAATGATAGCATAAGTTTGAGATTCTGAACACTTCAATAACATTCTGATTTACTTTTACAGGTCAATATTTTATTAGCTTGCACACATACACACAAAATGTCTTCAAAAATGTAAGTAATTCATAATTCTAGGACTATTTTTGTAAAAATAATTAACACAAATACTGATATTTCCTGGATAATCAATATTTAGTGAATCATGCTTTAGTTTAAAAATTTATACAGCAAATAAAATATCCAATATATTCACAAAGAAATACTAAAGATTTTGCTTTCAGTCTGATGAAAGATGTGATGTTTAAGATAAATATCAATACAGTCTTTTTATATCAATTTATAAGAAATAACTATTTTTTAATTTTTTGCTGAAAAAATAACTCACCATTGATTCAATAAGTTTCAACAGTTCCTCACAAAGAGACTCCATTTCATTAGGCATCATTTGCAATTTTCTTGTTTCATCATCTTCAGCTTTAAAACTTTGAAGGGAAAAAAGATAACTTCAGTTATGTTTTCTAAGTATGTTGAATTTATTTCTATGCATGATCTGATGTTTAACTGATATAAAATGAAATTTAGGTAACATAACTTCAGTTCAATATTTAAATGGTGGAAGTTGATCAGTCAAAATCTAATTACTACCTCTCTCCTGTAATTTTTTTTTTTTTTAAATCATGGCTCTACACAGCTTTCATTTCTTCATTATCTGCAAATTTCCAGGACCTCTTGGGAAAAGGTAGTAAGTGGTTTCTTGTAGTTTCTCCAAACTTTTGAATTCACAGATACCCTTCTCCTAGACTGGCTGCTACCCAAAGCTAGAGTGCCCAGTATTTTAACCCACAGGTTGACACAATGGATTTATAGCTTTCTTGGATTTGTGAAAAAGTGAATGCAACAGATTTATACCATAATATTTGTAACACTTACATACATATTTTATACATTAAATATTATAGGATAGAAATAATATTATACATTCTATAATAGAAAATATAATTTAACTTTACCACTGTCTCATAACAATTGTTACAATTTCATACAGATTTCATACACTAAATATACTGACTTATGGAACAGAGGTATCATTAAAATTGACTATTTCTTCAATGTTTAAGCATTATTCTAATTTTAGACATTTAGAACTTTTAAAGTAATTTTCTCTAACAATAGAGATAATATTGATAAATTGGTGAGACTACACAAAGTTGTTTCTGTGGCTTTATTGAATACATTACTTTTGTATTACTCACATTGCTTGGAGCTTACAATTAGCAATTTGGCCAATTAGCTTTGCTCCAGTCTGACTCAAAGTGTTCCACTTCAGGGTTGCATTGTATAAATTGGCAGCAGAATCTTTGACTTGTCGTACACTTCCTGTCAAATTTCCTTGTTTTGGTTTTTCAACAATAGGACCTACACACAGAAATAAAAACACTTATGTTGAGATAAAAGAAAAATAGCACAGTAGAAAAAAACAAGCAAACAAGTAAACAAACATTACCATTTTGAAATTTACTCATTTTTATAAATTATTTTAGGGTTTCCTTTTACTTTCCACATTTTTAATTAAATGAATGGAACAAATAAAATTAAAAACATCCCCTGAAGCAGTTATTGATTAGAGACAAAATTTGTTATTTAACCACGAAATGACAAGTGAAGAAAATAAAACTGTCCTTAATGTGTTAAGGTAACACAAGTAAATCCACAGTGTTAGGCAATGATTTTTACAGGTTAATTTTTCAGACTAAATAAAATTATCAAGATTCTGAATGGTTTCCTAAATTCCAAAAGAAGTGAATAATCTTTTCTGATGTAAAACAGAATTGTCTACATAAATCAATGAATTTTCAAATTCTGCTTTAAAGATATTTATATAGAGTAAATAATATACAAAATACACTTAACCTTTATTTTTAGCATGTATCCACAGACAGATTCAAAGAATGAAGTATTTTTTTTTTACTTTGTTCTCTACTTAAACACATTTAATATGTGTGAAAGCAGTTTAAAATTTGATTTGATATAATAACATAATGAATACAGCAGAAACAGTTTTAAGTTTTCTGGAATAGTCAATTCTCCTGTATGGCTGTGAATACTGGACAGTCTCCTCACAGATGATGGATACACTTGTGCCAACAATGGTTATACAGGATACAGAGAATGCCATAGACTGAACATACGAACAACAAACTGGAAACAAAAAGGACACTTATACTTAGAAAGAGACAGTTAAAATTTATTGGGTACATAATGAGGAAAGGGGGCTTAGAAAATTTAACACTCATAGGACATGATAAAAGCAAGAGAGACAGAGGAAAGCAGCAAATAATCTACCTTAGGATTAGGTGAGATAGCAAAAAGACAAACTTTGTGAAGAGCTACAAAGTACAGGAAGTTATGGAGAACCACGATTGCCCATGTCCTGAATGGACATGGTGTACATAGAAGAGTAAAGCTGTCAGTTTTAATACTTTGCTTAGAACTCTACATATGTTCCTAAAAATGTTGTACATAATGAAACAGTGATATACAAGGTCATTATAAAAACATAGGAGGTGGATAGTACATTTTTAACAGTGATACAAAGATGACTGAGATTACCAGTCAATGGTTGAAAATTTGGGTGAATCTATTAAAAAATAAAATTTGTGCTGATTTTTTGACATAGTTAAACAAATGTTCAGAAACCCATAATTATGCATTACGAAGTCCAGAGTAAACTTTTACGAATTTAACCAGTGGGAAAATTTTTTCAAAGCCGGATCTTTCTAAAGTGTATTTACAGCAGGTTGAAGAAGAATGTTTAGAGTTAATAGCTATAAGTACACACAAGGAATTGTATTAGAAGTTCAACAGACTTCTTTTTGGGATAAAAGTGGTTCCAGCTATATTTCAACAAGCTATGGATACTAGGTTTACAGATTGTGATTTCGCAGTTGCTTATCTGGATAATATATTAATTAAAAGTGTATCTAAGGAACAACGTATCAGGCATGTGAAAAGAGTTTTTGAAAAAATACAAGAATACGGCTTCAAACTCAGTGAGGAAAAGTGTGAATTGTTTTTGCCCAAAATCAAGTACCTAGAACAAATCATTGACAGAAATGTTTGTTAACCATATCCATTGAGAGCAAGTGCAATTAATAATATACCTCCTACAACAAACATTACTAGGTTACAAGCATTTCTAGGACTAGCAAACTATTATCAAATCTATATAATTAATATGCAGAATTTAAGAGCTCCACTGAACAATTTGCTTAAAAAAGTGGGACTGGACTGATAAGTGTCAGAAGGTGTTTGAAGAAATCAAGAAAATACTAATGTCAGACTTAGCACAATATGATCCAAAAGCAGAAATCATATTGGCTACAGATGCTAGTGACTATGGTATAGGAAATATCACCAGTAATTCTTTCAACTGATAGATTAACAAATTCTTTGTCCAAATACTAATTACATGAAACATGACTTCTACTATCCTTGTTGTCATTTAATTATCATAGATTTTAGAAGCACTATTCTTTTAGGCAATTTTTTTTAGGCAAATTTAAGCTCAACTCTGATTTACTATGAGCAGAAATCATGGCGAAAATCGTTAGTAGAAAAAAGCAAACAGGGTGCGATGGGTAAATTGTCGCCATTTTATATTTTTAATTTAGCACATGAATTTTTGTTTTTGATTTTATTGACTGCACAGTATAGTAGGGTCTGTGAGGAAAAGAACTCCATGACACAATTCACTCCAGGAGAAATTTGAAAATGGCATGCTGTACTACTTGGCTTCCCTTCAAACTTTGCGGTCTGGAATGGCCACAAAATCTTGTCGACATGTACTTGGAGGTACATTCTCCTGAGGTCCAACAGACATATGTTTGAATCTTTCTGCTGATATTTGCATAGTTTGGCTGCACAGAATTTGCGTTAGCAGGGAACATGTCAATGTGATGGTTGAGCTCTTGGTAGTCCATCACAGACACACCTTTTCTTTGTTCTGCTGCAGCATGGCCATCAGAAGAATTTACCCTTTGGGGGGCCTCAGCATTCCTTCTGGGTGTGGCACGAGCCAACCATTATCTAGCCATGTGTGGAGTTCCCACTCATAGTTGTCTCAGATCTCTGCAGCTATCAGGTATTCTGACACTCCATTTTTCAGTCCTTCTGGTGCACAGTCCTCTGACCACTTCCATGTGACAGTCCATGTTCGGCTCTGATGGTCGAAGGTGGTGTTGAAACACTGCGTCCCGTCAATGTAAATGTCTCTGTGTTTACATTTTCGTGGGACAAAGGCTGGTGCTGATGACTCGTCCCCTGGCTTGTTTCCTGAACAGTCCCAAGCCCAGTGCCCAATCTTGCTGCATTGATAGCAATGTGTTCCACGCCTATTGCAATCCTTCGCTGTGTGACCCTTGCCGCTGCACTTGTAGCAGGTTACACTGGTGCTGGGACCGCTCTTGGTAGGGGCCATGGTATTACTGCGAGGTGGACACATGGCTGCGGCCACCTCATGACTTTGGTTCCTAGTTGTTCCTGGCCCGGCATAGAGATGGCATCAGGGAACCCGGTAATAAAAGTAAGTTTGGTGAGCCTTTCCAGCCCAACTCCCTTGAACCTGGTCAACCCAGCCAACTGCCTGATTCTGTTTGTGTAGATGTCTACCTGCCCGCCAGCCCACCTGACCAGGCTCAGCTTCCTGTAGGCTGTAAACGCACCATTGGAAAACACCTCCTTCAACCGGGCCTCTATCTTATTAACATCCCTTTGGTTTTCATCCATCTCCTTGTAGAGGGCTAATGTGTTGCCTTCCAGATAAAATGGCAGTAGACTTGCAGCATCATCCATCAGCTGAAGTCTCGCCACCAGCCTCACCTTTTTCAACCATGCTAGTACATTTCCTTCACCAGTAAATGGCTTTATCATGTCCCTGATATGTGCACCTTTGCCATGGTAATGGTGCCAAAATAGCTTGTAGCAGAAAAGATGTGATTCAGTAGCAAAGACACTAGATACACCCTTGCAATGAATTCTGGTTTAGTACGCAATGCCGTGAAATATGATGAACACACAAAAGTCCTTCTCTCAACTAAACAAGGACTTGCCTTTTTATATGTTCTTACCGAGCCAGAGAATTTGCATATTGGGCACACTGCTAGTCTCAATCTGACACACTGACACATGCGCCTTGTCATTCCAGCACTGGTGCTTGGAGAGTCTGCATCGCTAGCAATTTGCTCACACACATAGGCTATGCTACTCTAGCCCTCTTGGACATACGAGGTAATTCTCCACACACAGAAGCTTAGATCACGTGCCTTGAGGAGATAGTGTTGCCCTGGGTCAAGAGAATGGCTGCTGGAACACCCTATGTCTGGCAACAGGACTTTGCACCATGCTACACAAATTGGAGAAGCCAGTCATGGCTGTCAGCCAATTTCTGCGACCACATCCCCCCTTAAATCTTGCCACCTAATTGCAAGAGATTCTGAAGTCGTCTGGAGGTCATGGTTGAAGCCAATGGCGATTTTATTGAATAAATTTACTCTTTAGTATTTCAAGATATTTTTATGTAATTTTGGTAAATATATCTGTTAAAATGAGATGTCAGTGTTATTTTCATTTTTGTGCAATTTAGACCATTTATCAATCGCACCCTGTAATTTTACAAGCTTTTTACCATTTATCAGCATGGCTGATGCTAACCTTCAGGAGAGTGATTCAGTGTGCCTTCTCAGATTAGAGTTTTTTATTGACATGAAATGAAAATATTATATTGAATCAATTACTAGGTCAGCTGTTAGTTACCTGTGTTGTGCTAGACAATTTTCCATGCCAGAGAATCTATCTTACATATTTATAAGTCTACCATTTGTCCTATCTCACAATACTGTTGTAAAATCTCTGGTCAGGTGCTAGAGAGAGATCCTTGATAAAATCTTCTTAATTCTTGTTTTTTTCAATTGTTTTCTCTCCTTATAAGTGTTTTTTCTCATATTTTCTAACACTCAGTTAACCCCTTGTGTTGTAGTGGCTTTATTGCTTTGCTTAGGGGTTATTATTAAAAAAAAATAGGGCGGGGGACCCAGTATCTGTGTACCGAAAATACAAAATATTCCAACATGAACAGACATGCCAGGAACTATGATTAAAAAAATAAACCAGTTGGTGATTTTTGCGGAGCAAATATAAACAAGTTTTATGCAGTTTATCATGAATATGAAACATGATAAAGAAAAATCACATTTTAGTAAAAAAAAAATCACAACAAATTAAAAACAGTACTTATTTCAATTAACCGCATTTTAGAATGATTTGTGTTCTCTTTTTAGCGATCTCATGAAGGTACCTAAATTACCAGATATCGTTCGTAATCGGTTATCATGTGTGCTTTCACTTGTTTATTTCCAAAAACAAATGAAAATAATGTTAAGGTAAAAAGTTATACACTGAAACTTGCCTAACAACTTTTTTTTCCATTTTTACTTACGTGACGTTGTTTTGGATTTTTACGGTAAAAAAAATCCAAAACAACACATCGCATAAGGAATATCGTTAAAAATAAAAAGTAACTCACTAAAGACCGGAGTGAAAAGTAATTGCAAGGAAGACTCATCAAAAGAATCTGTGATTGATGATTCATCGCGATTATTCTTATTTTTCTTCTTTTTTTTGGACATTTTCTATGTAAATTTATAATTTTGATCTCAAGTTATTTTCCGTAGAAAGCAATTACACGTGTGTAATCGCTTGTATCGTTGAAAAATAACAAATGTAAAATGTATTTAAAAAAATAAAATTAAAACGTATTTTATTTATAATTTCCATTTAAAAAAAAAATAAATGAAGTAAATATCCACAAAATGCGTTAAAGGCTTTTGTTTTGACAATTTTCAGTGTCACCTTTGTTATTGCTTAATGATGGAAGCGGCAAACGATTAATCCTCCTGATGTATTGTAACAAAATAAAATAAACGTGGTCCAACGGCAGTATAAAAGTTGATTTTTTTTAGAGACAAAACAAGATTTCTTAAGAAAAAAAACAAGGTAGCAAGAAGAAAAAAATATTAACCACTCAAATTATGGACGTTGTCATTGTTGGTAGTTTTATGACTGATTTAATGAGGTATGTATTTTTATTATAGTTTTAAAAAATAAGTAAGTAGAATCAGACAGGTGGGCGTTTAACTGTTAGTGTTTGTTAATTAAAAAAATATTTTTAACCGTTTAAATTTTCTTTCGTAATTACTATAAGTCAAAAATATATCGTCATATTTTAACTAAAACATGAAAAGTTTGGAAAAAAATAAATTCCAATTAAAAATGCTTCTTTTTTCTTTTCTTTTTTTTTAAATGACAAACAACTTTTCTTCAATTTTTTGGTTCATTGTCATTTGAATGTTGTCGTCTGCTGAAGGTCTTTTTAAGTTTTTCTTTTCAGAACAAAATCTTGTTCGTGTATATATTTTTAAAACTCTTTTCGCATTGCAAACACTTTTCTTTACCATACTTTTATTTTAATTAATCTACTAATCTGAACTATAGTTTTGAAAACCCTAATAAACCTATGCATCATAACCGAAAAAATATCATCCATAGATGCAATATATATAATAAAAATAAAAAAACAATTTTTCCCCCAAAGTAAAAACTGAATCTGTAATCTTTAAAGAAATATATTCGGAAACAATCACCGTATCCTTCTCCAAAGTTTGTGGCAACTCACAATAAAGCCAGACATTATGGAGAAAGATAGTTGGATTGGATAACTCCGGAGGACAATGACCACATGTCCTGAAGGGATAAAAAGTGGATTTATGAGTTTGCTTGCAGTGGTCATGTCAGGAATTCGGCAACTTTTCTTCTAATATCTTAAATTTTCGGACAACTTTCCAGCTGATCTGTGTAATTAAATAATGCAAAGCAAATAATAGCAAAAATGTTACTCTTTCGTTTTCCATGCAAACAGTACACCTGGAGATTGAAATACCCCCAAAAGAATGATAAAGTTCCTTTGAAGGCTAATGAATCTTCTCAAAATTATAGACAAACTTTTATTCATTCTTGTTTCTCTCATACTGCTTAACGAGAAAATTGCATTGATGGAAGAAAAAAAATACCTTTTTAAATCCTAACCAAAGAAAAAAAAAATAATTTCACTATATTGCAGTGAACTTATTTTTTCCTCAAAAAACAAGTTCTTTTCAGCCATTAGTTTTGTAAAACAGTTGTTACATGAATTATTATATGCCTGACCTTGTTATCTTGACTGATAGCTCTTTGTAAAGTTATAAAGTTTGATAAAGGAATAACTTCCACATGTAGAGAAGGCTAAAAACTTATGAACTAGTTCAACCATTTCTTATCACAAAAAGAAACTAGATGTCTACTCATAACTCACTAACAAAAATTTAATTGCTGATGACAATGATTATAAATGATACTTCTTTGTGTCATTATTTTTGTACAATCAAAATTCAACTCTTCAAAAAATGTTAAAATGGCTTAATTGTTTTTTTAGTGACACTGGCAAATGAATATGCCTAATTTGCATAAGTGCAAGAGAAAGCCTATATAACTCATCACTGAGAATAACGTGGGACAAAGACAAGCTTAGCAACTGACTAGTGCTAAACTTCGACTTCACATCAATGGCGTCGCTGATAGGATCCCATTTGTCTCTAGAAGATTCAGATTTCATGGATGCATGGTTTCACTGTTTTTCTGCCAGTGCGAGAATTAAAAAGCTGAAAGACAACAAGGAGAAGGGAGGCAAAAATGAAATTACACATTTATTTTTGGCTACAGCTGGATGCGAGGCGATAAGTCTCCACCATGGCATATCCCACAAACTTGGAAGACCTGACTTTCGAAAAAATAAGTCAGATTATAAGGAGAAATATGAGACCCACAAAAAGGCTGGTAGTGGCAGAAAGAACGAAGTTCATGTCGGTGAAACAAGAAATTGACGAACCAATTATAAAATATCTACACCGTCTACGAAATGCTAGTCGATATTGTGAATTTGAAAAACTCTGACAAGACGAACAGACTATTGAAGAGGACTTGATTCAATTAAGGTTAATTGAAGGTATGTGCAATGCATCATACCAATATAAAATAATGGAACAACTACAAATAGGAAATGTCTTTAAATACATGCATTGACTTTATATAGCAACAAGAATTAATACAGAAATACAACCATCATAAAAGTCAACCCAGCTAACAAATATTCGCTGATACGTACATGTTAAAAAAGATAAGAAAATGTTCGTATTGTGGACGTGAACACAAAATAAAAAGGGAAAAATGCCCAGCATTTGGAAAAACCTGTACAAATTGCTTAAAAAAGAACCACTTTCAAGCAGTATGCAAATTCAAAAAGAAAAATGTTGAAAGAGTTGAAGAAAATGAAACCAATATGGAAGTCTTCACATTAAAAAATAAGAATCTAGAAAAAATTGAACAAAAGGAAAAAGACATTATACTAAAGGTTAAAATCAACAACTGCAATTTAGATATGCAAATTGATACTGGGAGTGAAGTAACGCTGATACCAAAAAATTTTTGGGAACGCATTGGAAAGCCACCTTTCCGAAAGAGCAGTTTACAACTCCGCCAATTTGATGGGTCGGTCAAAAAAAACTTTAGGATACTTTGAAGGTTCCTTGGAGTTAGAAGATAAATTTGAACTAATACCTATAATTGTCACAAGTTGTAAAAAGAACTACGGACTTCTTGGAAACAACATGCTTAACATAAATTCTACCAAATTAATTAATGAGATAAAAATGGAAAAACCCGGAAAGTTAAAAAACTGTAACGCGAGTTTAAAATTAAAAGAAAATGTCTCCCCCTCTTATTATGAGGCACGAAAATTACCAGTACATTTGTTGCCATTAGTAGTAACAAAACTATGAAAATTAATAGAACGAGACCTTCTTGAACATGTTCTCCCTGGGGGTAGCAAGTGGGCATCACCCATTGTAGTTTTGAGGAAGACAAATGGTGATTTACGTATTTGTGGAGATTACAAAATAGGCGTAAATCACAAAGTTTGTTCGGATTCATATCCTATGCCAAATGTTGAAGTCGCATTACATGCACTGGCAGGAATGAGCGTTTTTACAAAAATAGATTTAAAAACGGCATACCACCAAATACCAATAGATGATAACTTCAAAGAAGTAACCATGATAAATACACCAATAGGGTTACTAAGATGGAAAAGGATGCCATACAGAATAAAAACCGCAAGCGCCATATTTCAAAGGGTCATCAAACAGGTTTTAGAAAATATGAAAAATATGATTTGTTACCAAGGCGATATATGCATAGGAGCTACTAATGAAAATGAATTAAAAAAGAAAACCGACATAATCTTGAATAGATTAAGAAATGCTGGAATGACAATAAATGAGAAAAAATGTGTAAGCAATTGTAGTAAAATATCTTTTTTAGGTTATTCCATTTCAAAAGAAGGTATATCACCAGACCAAGCCTTGATAGAAAAAATACTAAAAGTAGCTATACCTACAAATAAAAAAGAACTGGAGTCTTTTTTGGGATTGGTGAATTTTTATAGGCGATATTTACCAAAATACACAGACTTGACTGAACTGTTTGCAAATTTAAAAAAAAGAATGTTGAATTTATTTGGTCAGAGGAACAACAAAAAGCTTTTGATAGATTAAAAGTAATCATGGCAAAGAAACCAGTAGTGAAAATGTTTGATCCAAAAAAGGACATTACGTTAACCACAGATGCAAGTGAACATTCGCTATTGGGAATATTATCACAAGGACATCCGATAATCTATTTATCAAGAAGACTAATGAACACTGAATTTAATTATTCAAATATAGAGAAAGAAGCGTTGGCTATTGTGGGGACAACTACTAGAGCCCGACAATTTTTAATTGGGAAAAAATTTCTGTTAAGAAGTGATCATAGACCATTAGAGTTTATATTTAACCCAAGGAAAGAATTACCCAAAGTCACGACATCAAGGATACTAATATGGGCAATAAGATTAATGGCATTTGACTTTGATATAGAATATGTCAAAGGAAATTCAATTCCACATGTAGATGCACTATCAAGATTGTGATTCTACAAGGAGTCAAAAGATAAAACAGAAGAAGAATTTGAAGATGCATTCTTACATTGGGTAGAGACTGATGTTTTGTCTTTAGATAGAATGGCTTTGGAAACTAGACATGATCCAGTACTAAGTAGGATAATATCGAGAATAAGAAAACTCATGGGGAAATTGTTCTAGGACGGAAAGACCCTACAAAGAAATAAGACGGAAATTAACGAGAGAACATAGAGTGATTTGTAATAGGGATCTGGTAGTTCCCCCAGAAACACAAAGAAAATTTGTAATAAAAAGTGTACATGATGATATACACTGTGGAGTAGCGGCCACACAAAAAAGGATAAAATTAGAAGCATGGTGGCTGGGATATTCAAGAGATGTCAAAGAATATATAAAAAGGGGCAAAAAAATGTAAAGAATTAAGAAACTTTACAGAGACTACTTTACATTCATGGCCCAGAGAAGTGGAGCCATGGAGTCGGGTGCATATGGACCATGCATATATTACTGGAGTGGGACTCTTATTAATTCTAGTAGACTCTTTTTCAGGCTGGCCTGAAATAATCTGGGTGCCAGACAAGAAAAGTTCTACCATAAAACAGATTCTAAGGGTCATATTTTCCAGAAACGGCATACCAAAAATCCTGGTATCTGACAATGCACCAGAATTTTGTGATGAAGATCTTAATTTATGGTTAGAAAAAAATAGGATGTAAACCGTATAAGACACCCCCATATCACCATCAGTCGAACGGGTTAGCGGAAAGAATGGTGCAGACCATAAAAACGGGACTAAAAGCATGCTCTCGGCAAAAAGAAAAAGTAGAAGTTTTTCTACCAAGGCTGCTTTTAAGCTATCGCACAATACCACACGCTGGAAGACTAGAAAGCCCATCAGTTTTAATGGGAAGAAAAATGTGGTACAAAAAGAACAAAGAAGCAAATCCGGAAAGGGCAGAATTTATCATGCAAAAAGGCCACAATACAGCTATAATAAATAGAGAAAATGGCAACAGTGTATTAGCCCATGCAGATCAAATAAGGAACCAGGGTGAATATGAAGAGCAAAATGATGAAGAAATGTCTACGATTCCATCCATTAATGATTTATTAGAACAAATGTTACAGAATGACGAAATAATGCAGGATCAAGTGGGCCAGAATGAGTTTGAAACTTCGAACAAAGATCAAATAATGCAAGAAGATGCCTATGATTACAGCTTAGCGTGGGACAGATCTATGTCTACCAGAAAAAAAATACAGGAGAGAGAGAAGTAGAGCAAAGTAATGAAACTATCACGAAAAGAAGTACAAGAACTACTAGAGGTATAAAACCTATACGTTTCAGGGAGATGTAGTGACACTGGCAAATTAATATGCCTAATTTGCATAAGTGCAAGAGAAAGCCTATATAACTCATCACTAAGAATAACGTGGGATGAAGACAAGCTTAGCAACTGACTAGTGCTAAACTTCAACTTCACATCAGTTTTATATGGGTGATTTGTGTGAAAATTTTACATTAAGTAAGTAGCAGCATTGAATGCAGCTACTTCATTAAACAGCCTTAGAAATATGTTATTGAGAAGTTAAGGATAACATTTTAGCTGCTTCATTTCTGTTACCATTCTATTTCAGCAGATGCATACGAATATTTTGAGACCAACTTTGGATGTCCAAGTATCAAAAAAGTATCTGAAAATTCCAGAATGTCAGAAATTTTTCTACTTACTTTGGCAGCTGCTTGTTTGTCAACTTCAAATTTGAGTTGAAATACAAATTACATCCACTATAGAGAGATTTTTTCATAGATTATAGAAATACTTCAAATACTATTTTTCCACCATTTTTAAAACTTATAATACTGACCTAATATTTATTGTTCACTCAACTATCAAACAAAACAAATTTCGACACAATCCAAATAGATAAATTAATAAGGTTAAATAAGTTTTTTTGTTGCAACTGATAAAAAAAGGTATATTGAAAATTTTTAGTCTCTTGAGTCCCAAGAAATTATGGAATCCTCTACATTTGCCTGTCACCTCCTATGGGAAGATGCACTCTTCCCCAAATAAACCTTTAGCTAATCATCACTTTACTTTTCCAAACTCAATTCACCATTGGTTAAAAGGACACTAAAATGTAGCAAAGTTGAGACAAACCTTTTTCCTGCACAGGTCCCTGGAGCCTATTTGGAAACTCAAAAATCTATAAAAAGAATTGCTCAATTTAATTCAAGTTAGTCAGACACTGATTTTCAAGAGATACCAGCAGACCCCACACATGCCAACACACTGACTCAATAACCACTATCAACCTCTCAACAACTCAATATAACTCTCACAACTATTGCCGCATGAAGAAACTTAACATACAATTTACTAAAAAGTAACATTATCACTACAAAACAGTAATTGTACATTCAATCAACTTTAGCCTATCAGTTAAAGGCGAACAACTCTTCATAACTTAAATCAGCACTAGCAGTTGTCACACACATACACACTATCATTTGAACTTACACAATAGACAATTTTCCTTGCAGATATCAAACTATTTTAACTCCACAAACTTAAACTATCAACCTTTACTCACTAAATTTCTGCATGGACAATCTTTGTAACCTCATCTCACTTGTCATATTTAACAAACAACTTATTATCAATTTGTGTATGTTAAATATATATATAAATTCACGTTATTGTTGAAATTTTTAATGACGTTTTCAGTAATTTCTTGAAGTTGAATTGTCTATTTTTGTTTGATTTATTTGTTGTGGATAAATGCATTATGATCACTTCACAAAAAATCACCTTCTGATACATCTTACTCAGCATAGATTCTGCAACAAAATGAAGAAAAATAGCTTCTCTATTCTCAGTGTTTGTAAACAGAATTTAGTAAGTTTCCTCTGTGATAATTAAAAAGGAACCTAATTTTCTAACAGAAACTAGAAAAATTTTATATTCTGATATTGTTTTAAATCATTTATTGCATTTGTTGTAGAAATTAATCTCACTTAAAATGATTTTGTCATATTTTCAGTTATTGTACTGATTTTCCTGAACCTGGGGAAACTGTCCATGGCCACAAATTTAAGAAAAGCTTTGGGGGCAAAGGAGCTAATCAGTGTATTATGGCCCAGCGCTTGGGGGGCAAAACAGCTATGATTGGCAGAGTAAGTATTCAAGTTGCATTGCATTTGATCATGACAACATTTTAATAATTTTATAAACATTTTTACAATTTTGTGTTCAGAATTCTTGTAAAAGAGATTAAAGTGAAATATCTACAAATAAAATAGATCTTTGAAAGAATATTTGTAATTTTACAGATATTTACTCTAGATTTAATATTGTATGCATGTAAACACAAAAATCATTCCCTTCTTATGAAACCCTGAGAGTGAAGTTAAATATTTTACAAATCAATTTAATTTTTAAAAAGAGTACTTATTGAAAAAGAACATTTTGTAAAAAAATTTCAATTTTTTTTATACATCTTTTTTACAATACTTACTCAATGTTTGGATAGGTGAGAGTGAAATGTAGCTTTTCAACTCGCACCTACATTTTTAAAAAAATTCAATTGCATCATGACACATCCATTTTAATGACTACAATTAAATAATTTATATCAAATAGGACAATACAGATATAACTAAGTTTGTTATATAATAGGACCAGGCTATGATTAGAACATAGTCTAGTGAACCATAACTTATTTTGTTCGAGTCAGGTAGTTTTAACTACACAAGTGTAAAGGTAAAATCTTCAAAGTGACCTCCCACTACTAACAAGTAGGTAGAAATAAAGTGAAAGTAATAAATGGAAACTTTTGGGATAAAGTGCTACTTAGCTGGAAGTTAGGAAGCTCTTGTTGTAGACTTATACAGTCAAATATAGGATGGTAAGTTTTCTAGCCACCGATTGGAGGAGGGGTAGTTGTCAGTAGAGATGTAGAATCAGAAAATTGCCTATCATGAAATAGATGGATGGGAAAGCGAAGGTTAAAGCAACAGAGATGTAATCAATTCTTACTTATTGAAAAGAAGATTTGGTTCATCAGCCTGTCATGAGAGAACATAGAAGTAGCAGTGAAGATGTTTTCAAGCATCACCTACCTACCTCCAGCCTATGTTAGGCAAGTATATTGAAAATAGGATTTATATTTTCATTTCTCACTATGGTATTATTTCTTCTTTCATTCCTGGTGAAATATACATTGTGCTTTTTCTCAGTTTTTGTGTACATTGATGCAAACAAGAATCACAACAATGTCTGGTGATTTGACAAGTCAGTGTAAGACTGAGGGATAGTTGCAGGTTTATGTTTACAACTTATATTAACTTTCAATAAATAACAATACAAGGTTTTAAATACTTTTCTTTCAAGTTACTCATCATTTCCTTTGTCTTGACAAATTTTTTTACACACCTAAAAATTAGGCTGTTAGGAAAATAAAAAAAACTATTTGGTGGGAAGTTTTGAATTTGACTCTCCCCACCAAAATATATTACTGATTGTGGTTGTAAAGAAAAGAAAAAAAAAAAAGACTGTCAACTTATAGTAGCAATAAACATCTGCAATAGATTTATTCTGTCTCTCGACCACAACACATGTAGCCAAATCACAGTTCAAATGATAATCCTTCGTAACAGTCCAACAGGCAACATAGAAAAATGACAAAATAAGGTCATACATCCGACCTTCACTTCTCACCAGCAAAAACGCGTGTTCGTCCACCAAAAATCTCCGCATAAGCGAAAAACAACGGCTTTTGTTCACCAGAAGATCTTTCTGATTGGTCACGCCATTCAGGGGAGGGAAGAACATTAACATAGATTCTGGTACTTAAAGTAGATTTTTGCTAACTACTTTTTGGTAATTTTTTTGGTAATGATCTATAGTGGGCTGTGCATTCCACAATTTACAGTGTTGTAGTGAGTTGTTCTTTTTTTGTTCTCAGTAGTAAATCACTTTTGAACTCTCTCAACACACACACACACACACACACACACACACACAAAATCAACCTACTTGCAAGAACAGTCACCTATTTTTATTTATTTTTTTTTTTTTTTTTGCAAATTATCCTGATACTTAAACTCAGTTAAAAGCAAATTAAATTTAGTGATCTTTGAATTTTTATCATTTTTTTTACAAGACAACTATGTAAATAAGAATTTTTTTCATATGAATTTTGGATTAGAACAGGAACACTTTTTAATGGCACAAAAAACATTAATTATATCCTCTCATGAATAATAACTAAGTAAATGTCTTATATGAAGTAGGTGCCAGAAAGTTCTGTGCTGATCCACTTTCTAAAGTGCCTTTATCATAAATAGTGAATAACAAAATGATGATATTTATAATTCTCCTGAACATTAAATAAAAAACAATGAAAGCCTCTTTTTTTTTTTTCTTTTCTTTTTCCTCTTCACTGGGAAGTATGCAAATTCAAATACATTTACTAGTTCTTCCTTTGTTTCACTTACTCTTTCCTTTTTTCATTGGGAAATGGCATGTGTGGGTGACAGGAAATAGACATCAATGCTGTCTTACTAGAAATTTTATTTATTTATTTATTTGATGTATCTGAACTCATTGAAGTTTGCCAACTCTTGCTTTGAACAATCTAATGTGTAATCTGGAATGGGCAGTAAAAACAAAACTGTTGTAAAAATGCATGGACACTTAAAAGCATATTTAGTCAAGATAGAAAGTGTCAGAAAAAAATAAATTTTGTATTAAAATATTATTTAGCTGTGGTGAAATTTCTGCAGCAATTTTGTGATGCTTAGGTTGGGCTGGAACATGTCACACTTCAGATGAGATCCCATTTTTTCCTGAGTGAACAAAGAGAGGAAAAGTTATAATACCACCACTGAAGTAATAGATAAAAATAAAACCCATTGTTGGTCAGCAGACTATTGTAGCTGCATTTTCTGCTATTCCTACCTCTGAATCCCTTCCAGAGCCTGCTCAGTCTTCCAAGAGTGATTCAACACAACCTGTACCTATGTCTGTCTCTTCCTTTTACTAAGAACCACCACAGACTTTCTAAAAAAAATAAAAATGAATACACATTTTAAATATTTTAAGTGCATTCTTTATGAATTTATATTAATGGGTCATTGTGACTTGCAAGATGTAGTCACCTGTTGCAGTGTCCATTTTTCCAGCTGTTGCTGAGGTGTCTTCAATCTGTTCAAATTGGGCGAAAAAAACCTCCAGTTGCTCCTCTGCCAGGTCCATGGGCACCCTGTGTAATGTTCCTGCGAGTGCCCATGTACTCTGATTACAGTCATACCTATTTTGTTATTAGTATACTACCTGCCAACTTCTTTGCTTCCTCTTCATTTGCCAGCAGGATGCCCGATATTGTATTTTACCAGGACTTTGGGCATTATTTGGAGGCTCTTTATCATCTCCTCCATGGTATCCCTGCTGAAACCAATGAGCCGATGTGTTACCACAGTGGTTATCAGCAGGGAAATGTAGCTAAGGTATGCATGAAGGGCCCCCAGGGATGGTGAGAAACTCATTGCCATTTATGTATGGAGCATATTTCTCTTGCAAGTCAATGTCCTCCTCCAGTGTCCTTTTCTTGGGCCTGTTAGAGGCCCAAACAGATATAGCAGGTGGTGCTTAGGCTGACTGCTGTAGGGGAGACTCCACCATGGTGGAGAGGTTCCCTCACCAGCATACACACAAAAAAGTTCACGGCACAGAAAAAGGGATGAACAATAATATACAACACTGGAAATACATGGACAAAAATTGAACTTACTTTTTCTTTTTCCAATAAAATTATGGACTATACCAAAAAAGAAAAAAAACACTTTGTTGGGAGTGACTGCAAAACACTTTCCCGTCCCCTTTTTTAGACAGAAGTCTACAAATGCATGCTGGAATATTTTTCTTAGCTAATAAAATCAGTTGGTTTACAATATGACTTGATTCAGTCCATATCTGCCTCAGTCAGTCCCCCTACAAATTGTTTTTGAACTAATTGACAGATTGGTGCATGTCAGAAAATATTAAGTCTGTCTTTTTGTCTATTGTCATCCACATATTGCACCACTGTATTATCTTTTATATTTCTTAGGGGCATATTCACAAATGTTTTTTTTAACGGTGTTGGCATGGGAACCCCTCCACCTTGTAGGAGTCTCCCCAATGGCAACTGGCATTAGCTATGCCACAAGTTTCAGCATGGATGTCAGCAAACCCCAGAAAAAGAGCCCCCCCATGACTGTGGAGCTATAGAAGAAATATGCACCATACACTAATGGGAATGAACTTCTGACAATTCAAGAGGCACTGAAGGCAGTAGCCACTTGGACAATATCCCTGCTGACACCCAATGTAACAACACACCGACTAATTGGTGTCAGCAGGGACACTATGGAGGAGACACTGAAGGGACTCCATATACAAGCAAAGGTACTTGCCAAATACTCTAATGCAATGTTCTGGGCACCCGGAGGGCCTGGGTAAATCTACACAAGGTGTCCTTAAACATCACGGAGGAGTGGCTGGGGGTGTTTTTCTCCTAATATGGTCAGGTGGAGGATGTCTTGGCTGTGTCAAGCAAGGCAGGCATAGGGACTGGAGACTATATCCTGCAAATCACATTGATTAGGGACAAGTTTATGGAGATACCCAATGTATTAATTTGTCGAGGAAGGAACATATTGGTTATTGTGGATGGTCGTCGCCCCCACTACTGGTCCTATGGTGTTGCAGAGCACTTGACCAAGATGTGCTTGATGAAGAATCCAGTGCCACCGCCACCACCACCTTCAATAGCAGCAGCAAAAGTAGCAGTGCCAGCAACAACTAAAGAAGCAGTGAGGGTACAAAAATCTGGTCAGAACCCTAGTGGCTTAAGTGAGTGGATGGAGGTGGTAAGAAGGAGGAAAAAGTTGGCAACCTTACCTCCCCAGCAAGATGTCCCTCTAAAAGGGGCTTCTTCATCAAAGAAGTCAGCTAAGTAACAACTGTGGGAGCAGCAGCAGCTGAAGGGGTAGCAGCAACAACAACAGTAACAAGCTGAGAAGCTGGAGCAACAGCCCTAGCAGTAGCAGCTTGAACAGACACAGCAGCTGCCAGAGCCAGTGATGTTGCCACAACTCAACCTTTATATGGAGGTGGAAGCATCTCCGCCTCA